ACATATGTATATATTCAAATAATATATATATATGTGTGTATTTTAATTTGAATATCATTAAAATATTTCAAATCATTTTCATTAAATTCGATTTCTAGAATAGACTGTAATACTGTATGAAGAAAAGTAGAAAAATATATAATAAATAAAAGATTGAAATAATTAATTATATAACGATAGAAATTAATTTAATTTTGATCTTTAAGAAAAGTTAATTTAAAAATATTTAAAATATATATATATATAACAATGTATATCTTCAGGGTATTACAGCAATATCAGAATTAACCGGTGATTTTGAATTAGATTTTATGTATAGTGAAATATGGCAAGATCCGCGGTTAAGTTTCAAACACTTAAATATTTGCTCAAGTAATATTACCTTAAAAAGTGAATTTCGAAAGAGAATTTGGACGCCTGATACATGTATTATCAATAGCAGGGATTCATCAATTCATAGTTCACCATCTGAGAATACTTTCGTTATCCTATATGAAAATGGATTAGTATGGAGTAATTTCAGGTTAATTTCAAATGAATAATAAATAATTTTTAAAATTTCATATTAATAATTTTTATGCTATCAAATTTTTATTTTGTTATCCTTGTAAACGTAAACACATATACTTATTAAAAGTTGATAATGCAAAAATTATTAGCATAAAATTTAAAAATGTTAAATTTATTTAATAACAAATATTTATTCGTCGTAAAGATAAAGATATAAAGATATAACGTAGAGATATAAAGATATATAAGAAAGATATAGAATACAGAGATAGTATAATCAATGTTGTATTTTCATCATTTCATACTACAATTTCCTGTTTTTTCAATTAATAATAATGTTAAAAATAAACAAAATCTATTACATATATCAATAATATATTATAAATTTTAGAATTATTAAAATTCAACCAAAAAAAAAATTGATGATTTTTATTAAGGCTTGTTATTTTTAGGCTTAAAGTTAAGGCACCATGTAAGATGGATTTAAGAATGTTCCCATTTGATTCAATACATTGTCAGCTTGTTTTTGAAAGTTATTCATTTAATACGGATGAAGTACGATTATCTTGGCATGAAAAACCGTTAACAATGATGCAAATGGTTGAATTACCGGATTTCGAATTAACTGGTTGGCATACGAAACATGAAAAATCGGAATATCCGAATGGTGTTTGGGATAGAGCAATGGTAATTTAATGCTACCTGTTATTATTAATAAATTTTCCGAATTTTATTTTTTTAAATATCCGATAATTTACTTACTAATATTTTTTAATATTTAGAATTGAGCTAAATAATTTGGCATAATTTATTTTCTAAAATTATTATATAATTTCATAAGAAAATATTATTGTGTACATAAAATCCAAAATCAGGTATTTATTTAATTGTTAAAAATTTTTAATTTTCAAATTAATTTTTTGTTCGTTCGAATGAATATATGGCAAAAGATAAAATTAACGAACAATTAGTTGAAATCAAATTTTAATTTTTAATTTTTTTAAATAAAAATTTTTAAACTTGTTTTTAGATTATTAATTAATGTGTTTTAAAACAAAAGCTATAAAATTTTATTGGATGAAATGATGAAATAAAAAGAAAAACTATTTCATCGTAGTATATTTATACTATAAAATAACATATTGAAAATGAAAACAACAAGTATTCAAAAGTAGTAATTATTTCAAAAATTGTTAATTATTAAAAAAAAATTTAGCATTATTTAGTTAAATTATCAAATAATACTTATAACAATTAGTAAATTTCAATAAAACAAAAAGATTTTATTTTTAATTTTTAATTAAATGAGAAGATTTGTAGGTTAAATTTACATTTGCACGACGATACGGTTTCTATCTTTTTCATTCATACTTTCCAACCTCATTAACAGTCATTAGCTCGTGGGTTGGATTCTTTTTCGACGTACGAGCAGCTTCTGCAAGGTTTGCAAAATATATGCAATATCATATTTTATTTGAATCCCAAAAATTTTACAATTACAGTATCATATGTATATGTATACTGTATCACAGTATTATACAGTAACTATTATATGTATATATTATACAGAAGCGATAGCATTATTATACTTTAAATTTGATTTTTTGATTTATAATTTTCTTTAAAGAATCACATTGGGTGTCTCATCATTGTTGGCAGTAAGTTTTCAATTTGGTAGTGTATTACGTCATTTGCCACGTGCCAGCTATATCAAAGTTAGTTTATTTTTTGCAAATTTCTCTTTATTTTACCCATTCTATCTTTTTTTTTATGTAATTAATTAATTAGAAAAAAAATATTTTCATCTTTTTTTCATCTCATTAAATCCATTCCAAAACATTGTTTCAAATAATAAAATATAAAATAATAATTTTCAAAAATTTTTCAATTTTCCAAAAAAAAACGACAGTGATATTATATCTTTTGTTTTATTCTCTCTTTCAAATTTATTAATGAGAATAAATAATATCTTTCTTTCTTTCTCTTTTTCTTTTAATAGAATCATTAGGAAAAATTTTTAGCCTAAGCTGATAATATACAACTTAATCTTTTATTCTTGTGATATTCTTTAAATTCAAACTTTTGCAAGTAATTAAAAAAATAGTATCATAAAAACTAATTTAATCGATCATGAAGTGATGTACATATATTTCAGTGTTTGGATGTATGGATGATCAGTTCGGTTATTTTCATTTTTTGTACACTCGTAGAATTAGCTATCATTTGTCGACTTAATCGGTATGTATTTTACTGAAATTTTTATCATTAAAATTTTACAAATGAAAAAAAAAAGGTAACTTTAACCAATTTTGTAGAAATTATTCAATTTTAATTTAAATTTAAATGAATAGTTTTTTAATTTGTGTTTTAATTATTTTGTTAAAACAACTAATTTTTATTTCTTGTAGTGACGAACGTGAAAAAGAAATTGGATCCAATGCAGTAAAACAATGGATTAATCGTACAAGGTTATCAATCAAAGATATAAGTTCATGAAAATAAATGATTAATAATAAATTGTAATAAAAATTTATATATTCCTACTAAAGTGCCATTAGTATTCGAAACTAATTAATTTAGTAAAGATATACTTTATAAGTAAATATATTCAATTAATCCAGTAATTATATTCAATAAATATATAAATATATACACAAATATATACTCATGTATTTATTCATTATTGCATACGTATAGATATAGATTTATTCATTATCGATGATTATATATATTCAACTAAACTTGTATATATATATATATATATTCAACTAGATTTATATATATATCAATAATATTCGTTCTAGCTATACCATAAAATGTTATCAAATTTAAATTTTGAAATAATTTTTATGGATAAATTTAAAAAATGAAAAGAAATGAAAAATTCTATCTCTTCATTATTCAACTACTAAACTTAACTAAATTATCCTAATTTTAAATTAAAATTTTTTTTGAAGACGAAAAAGTAACCGTGAAAATTTGATCAATAGCAATATGAAAGTTTCACAGAGGCAAAATATTCCATCCATAATTACTGCAACAAAAACAGGAAATCCGATAACGGATGCTGATTTTGCTAGTAATAGCAAGGAGCAATTATCATCGCAATATCGTTTTTTTAAATGGGTAAATATTTTAATTAAAAAAAATTTTTAATTATTTCTAATTAATTGCTAAAATTTCTTAATTGTTATCCAATAGAATATATCGAAAATCATTTCATAATTATTTTCTTCCCTTTTTTGTTGGTTTGTTTTCTTTTCATCTTCAGCCAATAATAGACGTCAGGAAATTATTGGGTCAACTTTGTAATCGAAAATGGAAAATTACCTCTGCACAGGTGTGAATGAGTAATTTTATTTTTCTTTTTTTGATTATCAAATTTCATTTCTTTCTTTTTTTCTCTTTCAAAGACAATAATCTCTTTTTCTTTTAAGCAAAGAGAAGAATTGATGTTTTGTTAAATTAATTCTGATAAGTTCAAAGGAAAATTTTTTAATTGTTTTAATGAATGAAAATTTAAGTAATGAAATTAACAAAGAGGTTAAATTCTTAAAGAAAAAAAGAAGAATTTAAAAGGAAAAAATTGGCAATTTCTTAAAATTTCTATTACGAATTGTAACGAATTAAAAGAAAATTTTCCCAAAGAAAAATTTTAATTAAAATTTGAAAATTAAAATAAAACAAAACGAAATAAAATTTACTAAAATTCGTTTTTGTTTTTATTACGTTGTAATTACGTAATTAATTTAGGATTAATTTTGCTGAAAGTTATAATTAATATCTTTTCTTTCTTTTTGAAATTTGCGCTGCTAAAATTAAATGAATATATTTTTTTAATTTTTTTGTACTAAAATTAAATAAATGGATCATGTATGGTACTTTAAAAATTTATGGAACCTATATATATGGTACTTTAACTCAGAAAATTTCCAATAATCGAATTAAACAAAATGTTAAAATTGACATCATTTCATGTTTAAATTTAATTCACAATATTAGGTTACATAATTTTGGGTTAAAAAATTAATGTTAAGTTTAATATTAGTTTACATAATTTATGGTTAAAAATTAATGCTAAGTTTATTAAAGTAATTAATTTATGTTTCTAATTTGAATTGCTTTCAGGTTGATCATTATTCAATGCTATTATTTCCACTTGCATTCATTCTCTTCAATATAATGCCAGTTATCTTTTATAACCCTAAAATATCCAAATTTTAAAACATGAAATATTGAACCTTTTCATTTTACTAATATTTAAATTACACTAATATATTTGTTTTCGAAATTTCGTTATACTAATATATTTACAATTCATATACTTACTAATTCATATATGTAATTTAGTATCTTTGATAATTAAATTAAAATTTTACCATATTAAAAAGTTAGAAAAAAAGGAACGAGTAATTACAGCATTTTACTTAAAACAAATTCTCTGTTAAAATTTGAATAAGTGAAATTAAAGTTATTTGTTGTAAATTCAAAAGCGTATAGTATTATATATTTAATTATCAGTGAAAATTATCGAATGTTACTATTTCAGATATTGGACAGTATATATATTGAAAATGGATGGAACCATTTGATATGCTAATCTTATCATATCAATCTAAAACTGATCTTATCAACTTAAAATGTTAACTTGTAAAATGATATGTTAATTTTTGTTATAAAATTTGCGGCAAAAAAAAGCGAACAAAATTAACAATGTCAAAAATTAACCAATTAAAGAATTGTTTAAATTTAAATGAAAATTAAAAAAGTAAGCAAATTATTTAAATTAATTAGAAAAGAAGAAAAAAGCAAATTGATTATTTTTTAACAAAAAAAAAGGCAATGCTTTGTTTTTGTTTTCTTTAAATTATGTCAAATTTAAATTTGTGTCCATATGATATTATTTGTTTTAATTGTTTATTTTTATTGTTTCATATTCATTTTTAATTTAATTATGGCAAATAAAACAATTCAAACATTTCCTATTGACAAAACAAATAAATTGTTTACTGTTGCGGTGAAATAAAAGAATTAAATTAAATGTGTATTTGTAGCATTTCTATCTTTTATTATGATTTTATCACAAGAAGATACCATATATTCAAATTAGTTTTTGTGAAGTTTTAAAATTCCTATATAGTTCTACCCTAAATCTTTACTTCGCAAGATACATCAAACATGAGCTAATTGACT